TAGGCTGGGATCTAGGGAGTTTCCTCTGTTCCCCCCTTTCTGGGTAGGCAGGCTCCCCTGGGTACTTTCTGGAGTGCCCTGAGCCTGACAGTCACCAAGAGAAATGAATTGTTGAAAGACAGTTTATGTACACATCCTTGTTCAGAAGAAGAAGATCATTGTCGAAACGGCACACCATTCCGGAGACCACTGTCTACATTCACTATATATATTACTTATTTTCTGTTATTGTATATTATGATTTATAAATATAGTACCAAGCGCTAAATTGTCACAGTTCTTTTTTTCTTTTTCCAGTGGGAAGGTGATGACATGCCCTGCAATGTTCCCTCTAAGCTGAGTGAGTGTGAGCGAGCTCACAGTTTTTTAGCCTCCGGCTCATACATTTTTTGTCTTCGCTCAGGAAGGGATGGCTCCAGAGCAAACTGATTTAGGCAGGAGCCAAATTGTTTGCTCACAACGAGTAGCTCACAAAGTAGAATTTTTGCTCACAAGACTCCACAGCTGACAGGGAGCACTGATCCCCTGGCGTTTGCCCCGCCCAAGTACTAAGCATTCAGAGATACGCTATCTCTGAATGTGGAGGTTCCTTTTATCTGTCACACACCCAGCACTGTCAAGCGACTGAACCTCCCTCCATTTCTCTAACCACTTTCTTTTTCCTTTTTCTTTTTTGGGTATTTTTTTCTGTATTTTTCATATATGTGTGTATGTGTGTGTGCACGCATGTGTGTGTGTGTGCACCTGGAAGTCACGGCGACCTCTGGTGACTGACCCCTCCTAGGGGCCTGGAGGATATTCAGAGGGTTGGCTGAATACAGCCTGCCCCCACCTCCCACCTCTGGTAGTCTCTGGAGGTCTCCCATCCAGGGCTCTTTTTGTAGCAGGAACTCCTTTGCATATTAGGCCACACCCCCTAATGTAGCCAATCCTCCAAGAGCTTACAGTCTTACAGGGGCTACTGTAAGCTTTTGGAGGATTGGCTACATTAGGGGGGTGTTGCTTAATATGCAAATGAGTACCTGCTACAAAAAGAGCCCTGCGAGTCCCATCCGAGTACTTGCCAGAGTCGACCCTGCTTCGCTTTCGAGATCTGATGAGACTCTGCTTGTCAGGGCCTATTTGCCTAACCACTCTCAAAAGCCACCCAAACATAACCCTGCGCTCCAGTTGCTGATCCCACAATTTAATCAATTACACAACGTGTGAAGAAGTGCCTCTTTTCATCCGTCCTCAGCCTACTGCAAGTCAACTTCACCGGGCGGCCTCGCCTTCACAAAAGAAGCAGGAAAATATACAGAGAGGTGGCTCCTGGCTGTACCTTTAGCTCCGCAAAGGGGGGCTTTGCTGAATGTGGACTGGGGAACGACTCTGTGATGCATGAGACGGTTTTGCGGCATGAAGGGCCGAGAAAGAAAACAAAGTCATTTTGCTGCTAGTTGGTGAGAAACTAGAGAAGATCCTGAGAAGATCCAAGGGCATACTGGAGCAGAGCCTACTGCCTCTTTGGGTACTCGCCACATGTCTGTTAATAGATTTTATACAGGGGTCATTTCGTAGAAAAAGAGGTGCAGGAGCTCATTAGCATAACTCATTTGCATATGCCGCACCCCCTGACACCACCGGAAGTGTGTCAGAAAGCAACACCCACCTCGGGCTCCACTGGACTCTTTTGGATTGCTAACTGTTTGGGGGGGGAACGTGCAGATCTGCGCTCACAGAGGAGGGAGAGCTTGTACCTGAATAAAACTTGGTCTTAAAGGTGCCACTGGACTGTTTTGGATTGGTATCTGGGGGGTGGGGCTCTGCAACTTACCTGGCTGCTTCTTGCTCCTCATGGCCCAACTGAGGGCTGCTGGGAGCAGGGGGCGGGGCTTGTTGCATGTGCCCACCCCTGGGCTCCTGTGCACTCCTGCAGGAAATGACCCCTGATTTTACACCCAAAAAAGACACAAATGCTGTCTTCTCTCAGGGAAACCTTCAGGGAAACCTCCTTCTGTTGGGGAAATTGGGGAGCACTGATCCATAAAGGTGCCGTCATTCAAGTCCTGTCCTTTCGACATTTGTCCGCCACTTCGGAGACCAAACCGCCGCGTGTGAACGGGACCTTAGGGAATCTTCCTTTCAGCTGACACCTTCTCTCTCCTCTTCTCCATCCTGCCACCATGAGAGTAGGACATGCTTTCTACATCTCCATCCATCCTAGTTAGTTAGACTGAATGAGGATCCTAGATCTGCTCTATTCTGTCTAGAACGGCGTTCCTTACAAGAATGAGCTCACATTAGTTTGCAAACCTAACAGGACTCCATGTGTAACTTTATTTCCTCGGCAGCGCACGCGTACACACCAGGTGTAATTCTGCTGGGACGTGTGCCTCGAGCACTCTGCAAATATTCCATCAAAGACCAGCAACACAGGCAGGAGACCAAGAGAACTGGGGAGAGGAACCACTAGCTGGAGACCAGGAAGCGAATTTTAGTGAGGCAAAGTTCAGAAATCTTCAGCGTGGAGTAACTTGGCCTCACTGTCCTGCTGCTGATCAGAGCATGTATGCAAAGAGAGGCAGGAGGTATGGCACCCTTGCTTTTACACACGCGCACTCGCATAAGTCCTTTCAAAAGCAGCCAAAAATGGGCAGTTCTGTAGGGGTTTGTGATCCACCTACTGGGACCTTATGGGATGAAGACCGTTTATCTAATCTAACATAGGTAGTAACCAGCTAGATACCTCTGGAAGTTCACCAGGCCTGTCAGTGGGAAGGTGATGACACCCCCTGCATGGTTCCCTCTAAGCTGAGTGAGTGTGAGCGAGCTCACAGTTTTTTAGCCTCCGGCTCATACGTTTTTGTCTTCGCTCAGGAAGGGATGGCTCCAGAGCAAACTAGTAGCTCACAAAGTAGAATTTTTGTTCACAAGACTCCACAGCTTGGAGGGAGCACTGATCCCCTGGTGTTTGTCCCACCCTCGTACTAAGCATTCAGAGATACGCTATCCCTGAATGAGGAGGTTCCTTTTATCTATCACACACCCAGCACTGTCAAGCGACTGAACCTCCCTCAGTTTCTCTAACCACTTTCTTTTTCGGGTATTTTTTCTGTATTTTTCATATATGTGTGTAGGGCTATTTTTGGGCAGGAACGCACAGGAACGGAGTTCCGGCTGGCTCCCGAGTTGGCCACGCCCAGCAGGAACCCATTAGCATAATAGGCCACACCCAACAGCAGAAACTCATTAGGATTGGCTACATTAGGGGTGTGTGGCCTAACATGCAAAGGAGTCCCTGCTACAAAAAAAGGCCCTGGGTTTTGACAACAAACAAGGTAAACAGAATAAGAAGCAAAAGGTGGGTGTGGCTGGATGACCACACTTCTGGCAACAGGGGGCTGCGACCTAATATGCTAATGAGCTGTGGTGTCAAGGTGTGGCCTATTATGCTAATGAGTTCCTGCTGGGATTTTTCTACAAAAAAAGCCCTGAGGATAAGTATGCCTGGGGAACGCCCGACAGATGTGGCTCTTTGACTGTGCCCATTTGATCCAGAGGGGAGGAGTGGCTGTATCGGGCCAAATGGCCCATGTGGTCACGGCCTAGGTGACAAACCCATGAAGACAAATTCCAGAGGGTATCCATGTCGGTCTGCTCGGTTTCGAGTCCAGGAGCACCTTAAAGGGCAACAAGGTTTTCGGGGAATGAGCTTTCGATAGTGAAAGCTCCCCTATACCTGGTGAAGGGAATTTCGACTCTTGAAAGCTCCTGGACCCAAACTGACAAAGGACGTGCCCTAAACCGAACCGCGCTACACAAAGAACAGCGGGATAAGAGCAGCCTTGGATCGACGGCCCACCAGCGCATGAGCCAGTCGCGCCCTGCCACTGGGACTGACTCTCCCTTTGCCATTTCCGGGTGCCGCGTCTGGAGGCATGAAAAGATCCCTAATAGAGGGCCATTAAACATTCCTTAAGTCTGGAATGCCGTGTGGAACCTGCCCGACGGTGCCAAGAAATTCAAGAAATGTGTAGAACAAACAGAAGTTCAAAGGCAGATTAACTCCGAGGCGCTTACCCCTGGCTCTGCCGAGCGCCTCTGAAAGGGACTCAGGATGCGTCTCGGTGCTGGCAAAGAAGCAGGGGAGGTGTGGCCATCTCTGCCCTGGCTCTCCTCGGCTGCTCTCTTGACCAGTGACCGAGTGACCAGTAGCTTCCGGGATGAGCTTCCTTGCTTCATCTGTCCCAGGGGTGTCGGCATATTAGGCCACACCCCCTGACAGCACAGCTCATTTGCATATTAGGCCACACACCCCACGTTACCAGAAGTGTGGTCATCCAACCACACCCACCTTTCCCTTCTTATTCTCTTTACCTTGTTTGTTGTCAAAACGGAGGGCTTTTCTTGTAGCAGGAACGCCTTTGCATGTTAGGCCACACACCCCTAATGTAGCCAATCCTAATGAGTTTATGCTGTTGGGTGTGGCCTATTATGTTAATGAGTTCCTGCTGGGCGTGGCCAACTTGGGAGCCAACCGGAACTCTGTTCCTGTGCGTTCCTGCCCAAAAATAGCCCTGAGAGAGGTGGCTCCTGGCTGTAGCTTTAGCTCCGCAAAGGGGGACTTTGCTGAATGTGGACTGGGGAACGACTCTGCGATGCATGAGACGGTTTTGCAGCATGAAGGGCCGAGAAAGAAAACAAAGTCTTTTTGCCGCTAGCTGGTGAGAAACTAGAGAAGATCCTGAGATCCTGAGAAGATCCAAGGGCATACTGTAGCAGAGCCTACTGCCTCTTTGGGTACCCGCCACATGTCTGTTAATAGATTTTATACCAAAAAAAGACACAAATGCTGTCTTCTCTCAAGGAAACCTTCAGGGAATCCTCCTGCTGCTGGGGAAATTGGGGAGCACTGATCCATAAAGGTGCCATCATTCAAGTCCTGTCCTTTCCGCATTTGCCCGCCACTCCGGATTTTCTCAGTGTTCTAGTCGAGGCAATTTAAGTCCACGGCAAAACAGCATCCAAATAACCCAGATTCGCAGCAGGCTGAAACTGGGCTGAATCCTGAAGGGAGGTAATGCAATGCAAAACAGGCGGGGGAAACCCCAGCATAAAAAGAAGGTTGGACTCGATGTTAGTGCAGAATGGGGAGAAAAACCTGGATTTTAAAAGGTTGAATTCGATTTTAGTGTAGAACTCCTTGGGGGACACCGTGGTGAACATGGATTAGATGTCGCAACGCAACAGTGCATGCGACCCGTGGCAGATGTGAGCAATGTCTGAAGGGTCCCGGAAGGTGCCACCTGCTAGAATGGGCCGCATGCATGCCCTGCGAGTCCGAGGCTTGTTGCCATGTCCCCCTTTCCTCGGAGGCTGCGTACCCTCGCGTGTACATCAGAGCAGACATGCGATCAGCAAGGCACTCGACAGCAGCAGGTGTGTCAGCACAGCGCCTCCCCCTGGCGCCACGCTGCCATTGCAGAGGGAGTCGGCGCAGCAGTGGATGGAGGCGTTCCGGCTCAGGCCCAGCAGCTGCGGCTTCTCCCAGCAGAGCCTCTTCAAGCTGCAGCCGCGCAACAGCGTCTGGCCGCTCTCTAAAAACAAAGACGGTGATACTAAATGTTCCAGTGGGGAACGACAGACCAGGATACAGGATTCGGAAAGAGAGGCAAGTGTTATTATTGGAGGTCATCTAGAGAAAATCAAGGACATTCCTGCCCGGGAATTACGATTGCAGGGAGAAGCTCACCTGACTGTCCCACCAGTCAAAGAAGCTTGTCTGGTGGGCACACGATATTGATGCCAGCCTCCAGGGGGGACCTGGGGATCCCCTGGAATTACAGCTCATCTTCAGTCTACAGAGATCAGTTCCTCTGGAGAAAACGGATGCTTTGGAGGGTGGACTCTGTACCCCACTGAGGTCCCAGTGCTTCCCAAGCTCCACCCCCAAATCTCCAGGAGTTCCCTGACCTGGAGCTGGCAACCCTACCCACCCATTCCCTGCTGCTGGCCAGGGGGGGTCTGGCAACCCTAGCACATGAGACAGGGCCTTTTCGGTGTCGGCTCCATGATTATGGAACAACCTCCCCAGGGAGGTGTTCCTTGCCCCTACCCTGTCAATTCTTAGAGATGCCAGCTCTGCGGTTGGGAAATACCTGGAGATTTGGGGGGTACAAACTGAGGAGGGCAGGGTTTGGGGAGAGGAGGGTATAACGTAGGGTTGCCAGGTCCAATCATTGTGCCAGCAGGGGAGGGACTTTCCGGGAGTGGGGAGGAGCATCACAATGTGCATATGTAAAGAAGATGTTCTGTAGGCATGTCAGGGGGCAACGCTCTTTTGTTTTGGGGGGAAACCTCTATGGTAGATTTCTACCTCAAATCATAGATTTTTGCCCCAAAACCAGAGCATCATCGCCCCCCCCATGTGCCCAACGTGTCTATGACACTTCCGGTTTACATAGGCATGTTGTAATGATTTCCAGGTTCCTGCCGGTAAGAGGGGGTGATGGGGATGGGGGTGTGAGTGCCCAAAAGCAGGAGACCCCCCACACACACCTGCATCAGGCAGTCTGGCAACCAGTGTTCCCTCTAAGCTGAGTTATAGTGAGCTAGCTCGCAGTTTTGTAGCCTCCGGCTCACACATTTTTGTCTCAGCTTAGGAAGGATGGCTCCAGAGCGAACTAATTTACGCAGTAGCCAGATCACTCGCTCACAACTTTAATGCCGGGAGCTCACAAAGTAGAATTTTTGCTCACGAGACTCCACGGCTTAGAGGGAACATTAGTATAAAGACAACAGTCATGAGAGTCTGACATGCAAATCAAGCAGTCACCAAGACTTGCAAAGAAAAGGCTTCCTATGTATTACGATCTAAAGCACTAAAGGTAAAGGTAAAGGTTCCCTTGCTCGAAAGCCAGTCGAATCCGACTCTAGGGTTGCGGTGCTCATCTCCGTTTCAAAGCCGAAGAGCCAGCGCTGTTTCCGTGGTCATGTGGCCGGCATGACTAAACACCAAGGCGCACGGAACGCTGTTCCCTTCCCACCGAAGTGGTACCTATTTATCTACTTGCAGTTTCTTGCTTTCGAACTGCTAGGTTGGCAGGAGCTGGAACTAGAGACGGGAGCTCACTCCGTCATGCGGCGCACTCGGGTCTCGAACTGCTGAACTACCGACCTTCCACAGCCTGCAGTTCAGCGTCTTAACCACTTGAGCCACCGCA